TGAAAACCAAAGATCAAAAGAAAAAATAAAGATCACGGAAATCAGGGGTTCCCTGAGGAATGGAGAGTGACTAAAGGGGAGCACGGTCCAACAGCAGAAATGCCCTCAGGGTCAGACAGAGGTGGTTCCAACCACAGCAGGGGTCTATCTTAGGTACATTGCCGGAGGGGCATTAAGGGAAAGTGATGGCAGAGAGGGTCCTCTTCAAAAATGTTTTTATTGAGGGGCGCCTGGGTGGCTCAGTTGGTTAAGCGACCGACTTCGGCTCAGGTCACGATCTCGCAGTTTGTGAGCTCGAGCCCCGCGTCGGGCTCTGTGCCGACAGCTCGGAGCCTGGAGCCTGTTTTGGATGCTTTGTCTCCCTCTCTCTCTGACCCTCCCCACTCACACTCCGTGTCTCTCTGTCTCTCAATGATAAATAAACGTTAAAAAATTAAAAAAAATTTTTATTGAGATATAACACAATACAGCAAAGTGTAGAGTCAAGGCACAGACTCCTATGAAGTTTTACATGGAACTGCACTCATGTAACTACTGCCTGGATCAAAATATAAAACATTTCCGGGGCGCCTGGGTGGCGCAGTCAGTTAAGCGTCCGACTTCAGCCAGGTCACGATCTCGCGGTCCGTGAGTTCGAGCCCCGCGTCAGGCTCTGGGCTAATGGCTCAGAACCTGGAGCCTGTTTCCGATTCTGTGTCTCTCTCTCTCTCTGCCCCTCCCCCGTTCATGCTCTGTCTCTCTCTGTCCCCAAAAAAATAAATAAACGTTGAAAAAAAAAATAAAACATTTCCAACACCTAAGAAGGTTATCTCTTCCCTTTTCCAGAACACACGCTTCATACTCCTCCCTCCCCCAGAGGGGACCACTGTTCATTCACTCAACGTTATATCTGCGAGGCTCATCCATGATGTTTTGTGTAGGAAGAAATGTTTTCTTTTCTTTTTTTTATTGCTCGTTCAAATTCCATTGTATAACTTATACTCCAATCTGTCCATTCTCCCGTCGATGGACCTTTATTTCCCACGTTTGGCTATTATCAAAAAAGTGGCCAGGAACACTTCCAAACAGCTCCCCTGAGAGGCTCCACCAGTTTTCACTCTCACCAACACTGCATCAAAAAAATAAACCTCAGCTCCTACCTCTCACCATGCACAGAAAATCGATGTAAGACCGATCATAGAGCCAACTCTGAAAGACAAAACAACAGAGCTTCTAGAACACAGGAGAAAACCTTCATAACTTTAAGACAGGCACATGTAGAACCCAAAGCCATTAGAGGTAATGGAAAATATGGATAAATCAGACTTCTTCAAATTAAGAACTTTGTTCCTCAAGAGACAGTAAAAAGGCAAGCTCACTTGTGGCACCTCTAATGCGACGCGTTAAGTCCCACAAAGGACTCCTACCCGCCCTATGTAAAAGACTCCTACAAGTCAATAAGAAAATGACAAGCAACTCCATTTTAAAAGTGGTTGAAAGCCTCAAAAATCACTCCGGGAAAGAGAAACTTCAGATGCCCTATTAGCATATGAAAACATGCTCCACATCTCCGGGCACCAGGGAAATACAAAGTACAACTATAATGAGATATCCATCACATGAACCACCAGAAACAAAACTGACTTTACCCGTAGTGTTTGTGACGACGTGGAGCGATTGCCACTGCCATCGGATGCCCAAGGGGTTGGTGCTGTAACTTGGGAAGCTGTCTCGCTGACCATATGGCATCCTGTGACCTCGTACTTCTAACTCCTGGGTGTCTACCCACCAAACAAGGTGCACACTTGTGTGCCACAAGACATCTACCAGAACGATCAGGGCAGCGCTACCCTGTGGGCCCAAATGGAAGTAACTCGAATGTCCGACAATAAATTGAGTTTTCAAAATTGTGGTATGTTCATATAATGGGACACTATACAACAATGAAGAAGAGACTCCTGCTATATTCAACATCCTAGATGAATCTCACAGGTATATTATACACGCTGAAGGTACACACTGGTGTTCTATTTACGTAGAGTTCAAAAACAGGCAAAACGATGTATGGCACCAGCCGTCAGAACAATGGTTCTTTAGCACAGCAGTGAAAAGACAAAAGGTGGGTAATCTAGCAGAAGATATGGACAATGGCCACATAATTACACACACACACACATACACACACACACGCGTATCCATGGATCAAGGTTGTGAAAGAAAAGTCCAGAGCTTTATGAGGTGAAGACTTGACCTGGTTTGGGGACTTGGGGAAGGCTCCCCCGAGGACCTAGACAAATGGCAGGGCAGAGGTGGGACAGGGGAAGGGCATTACAAGCAAAGAGAACAGCATGTGCAAAATCCGTGAGGTGGGAGGAAGCATGGCACCCGGAGGATGGCAGGTAGGGCCGGAACCCAGAGGCCGAGGGAGCATATGGCACAGAGTGGCTGGAAGGTCACATTTGGGCTAGACTGGACAGACCTCCCTTGGGCTCTGATGATTTGGGGGAAGAAAAACAGGACACGCCATTCAGGCTTTTAAGCCAACAAGGCATGTGGTGGGGGATGGGGTGTGTGTGTGTGTGTGTGTGTGTGTGGCTTTGGTCACTTGGATTGGTCTGACTGGACTTCCAGAGCTGGGTGGGTCTGTCTCAGGCCTAGTCACCCACCACTTGGCTGTTCCACATAGTTTGGGACTCTAAGTTCCTGCTGGAGGAAGTGCCTCAGAAGGCTCTGGAGTTCTGCCCCGAGCTCAGTGCTGGCTGGGGAAGGTCCCTATGCTGACTCACAAGTGTGCCGCTAAAGAGCTGTCATATTATTTTAGTGATTTTTAGAAAAAAAAAAAAAAAAACGAACAGAATACCCAGCCTAGCCCTTTGGGGTCATCGTGCCCACGTGAAACTCTGTTCTGATCCCAGGCGTTTGTTCTATGTCCTCACCTTTTCACTGAGGAGTTTTGGTTGAGTTCAGTTACTTTCTAGCTGGACGAGGCCAGGCAGAGGATGCCAGCAGGAACTCTCAGTAGGGAGGTGGATATCTGACTGCACGGCGTTGGCCACAGGGCACGCGGATAGAGAGCTGGGAGGACACAGGTAGGGAGGGGGGCATACCAGCACAGGGAGAAGGGTGATGGGCAAAGAACCACTCTTCGAGACTAACAGCATGGGGATGCTCTAGTCTGTCTGCAAGTTGGCCCTGAGGCTCAAGGCAGCGGTCTCAAAAATGTCAGGCAATCGTGCTCAATGTCAGGAACCCTGGGCCCTTCAGCTCACAAGGCACAGAGGAGCAGGGAGGCGGGACAGGAGCCAGGAGTGGAGAAGGTGCCTGTAGATGTGAGGCCCCTTAACCTGACGACTCGGCGGGTAGAGAGCAAGACAGCCAATGTAATAAGAGCCAAGTCGTGCTAGATACCGTTCTAGGCGCTTCACAGAAGCGTGTCCACTTTGCAGATGAGAAAACTGAGGCACCGGGTATTTTGTTCAAGGTCACAACTAGTATCAGCATGGGCAAGGTGTAAGGCTAGGCACTCTGGCTCCAAGCTCACGCTACACTGCCTTTCTGTGTTAAGATGTCTACCCACGATGGGGCTTTGGAAAACAGAACCAGCATCAGGAAGCACCTGGGCAGATTTATCCCTGGGAGCCCAGGAGACCATGATTAGCTATTGGTAACCCCTTAGGAAGACCAAGGAGATCTTCCCAAGATACATGAATGATGCTGTCCCTAAGCTTAGCTGACAGGGGGCCTGGGTAACGATGCTCAGATTTCCACGCTCCATTCTCACATCATTCATTCATCTATTCACTCAATAATTATTTCATTGAGCACTTACACAACTCACCAGTCTTTTAGGTGCTAGGGCTACATCAGCTAACAAGAGAGAGCCTTCCTTTCAGTAGTGTTGGAGAGAAGGGGAAAGACATCAAACACACACCATCATTTAGCTACAAATTGTGATAAGGGCCTTGAAGAAGAAAAGCAAAGGGCTATGATGACAAATTATAGGAAGGATGACCTTGTCTTTCCTGGGAATGGGATTCCTTAGGCCTGAGATTTTATAAATAGAGTTCCGTGGACATCTAGGGATATACGGAAGCTATTTCTAGAGTTGTTTGAGCCTCTAAGTTCATTTCAGTTAAATACGTGTGTGTGTATAAACTATATTTTTAAAACAGTAACAAGAAAAGCGTATGTGTATACTCAAATGTGCTATACGATACACTGGGAACTGTGAGCTCATTCAGGTATTGGCAAGTTGCCTTGTTTTTGTTTTTTGTTTTTTGTTTTCGCCTGACAATGTTGGAATAAAGTTCTCCAGTCATTTCTGTGCAGTTCCAGGAACTTATTGTGAGTGTGTCACTAATAAGGAAGGCTGCAACCCAACATTTATTTTGTTTCTTAAAACTCAGGTGTGGGGAAAGCTGATTGGATTTACTAAGACTTATTTTTATGACTTATAATTTTATTACTGTGAAGCTAAAATAAAGCATGGAAATGTGTTGAATGTCAAACTGAAAGTGTTACCCACAGCCTCTGGGGTGAAATCATTGTAGCCATAGAAGCAACTTCATTGTTTTCAGTAGGTCTTTTTATGGCAAGGAAATGTTGCATATTTGAACTTATACATTATCTATTTTATACGTATTTTAAGTATTGTTATCTGGATAAGATTTCAATTAAAAAAAACAAGTTTGAAAATGCCAGCTTCGGTTCAAAGATGTTGGGGATCTGATGCGACCTCTCCAGTCCCATCTCAGACCCCCATCCCTCACCCTCCCCCTGCTCCCATGGCCCCTCATTCCCTCATGGCACCTGCCAGTGGCCTGGAAATTCCTGATGGACAACCTGGGGGATGACACAGCCTAAGCTGAGCTGGGAATGAGGCAGGACCCCAACCCAGACAGAATAGACTCTAAGCTTCAAGCCCACCAAGAGCGCTGGCCTATTTTCAGGACCCTGGATAGCAAACAGGCTCCTCCTTTATCCCCAAACCTGGAAGACAATAGTCAAGGCTGCATACTCACCCTTTTTGGTGGCCTCGAAGCTGTCGTGAAAGTGAATCCTCTGGATATCATAGGTCAAGGTTGTGTTGGGCAGCAGAGTCCTGTTCCTGTTGATGATGTTGGCAGAAAATCGAAAGGCATGCTCCTCAGCATTCATGACCTGGGCGTTGGGGCCATCTGCATACTCAAAGATTCCTCCTGCGAGAGAGAGGTAAACTCATGTGTGCTGGGGAAGGAGGGGCATGCCAACAAAGATGCTTGGCTCAGAAGGTTTTATGGGCAAGATTTTCCCCTAAAAAAATGTTCAACAATATCCTAGATAATTCCTATACGTAGAAATTGTGCCAGAGCATAAGAAATAGGAAAATTCTCCTAGTTCATTTCACTCAGCCAGGGACTGGCAAACAGAGCCAAATAAAATGACCAACTTATTAATATCGCTATGAAAATTTTCAACAGAGTGCTTGCCAGTAGAATCTATTAGAATGTGACAAGGATAACATGACCAGGTAGAGTTATAGTCAATATAAAGAAAGGGTGGTTCAACATAAAGAAATCTATGAATATCATTCCATTACATCAATAGTTCAAAGGAAAAAAAATAACACATGATCAACTCACGAGATGCAGAAAGGCATTTGATAAAATCCAATATACACTGCTGTTAAGAATGCTTAATAAACTAGTACCAGAAAAGTCACCGCCTTGAAACATCTTTAGCTCAAATCTGCCTTCAATATCACACTAATGGTGAACACTAGCGACATTCCCATTAAAGAAATAAAGGAGGGATAAAGATCCACACCACACCATTAACCAACAAAATAAGAAAAAGAATTTAGAGGCACACCTCTTGGAAAGAAAACAAATGCTTGCAAATGTTATAAATGACTTCCTACAACCCCTTAATCCCCCAAAACAAACACTAGTTAAGAACTAGTAGGAGGGTCGAGTTAGATGATCAGTTAGCATAAACTAACACCATTTCTCTATGTCACCAACAATCAGTAAGAAAACCTAATTGCAAAAGATCTCCTTTATAACATCGACAAAAACATTAAATAGCTAGTAATAGAGCAAATAAGAAGTATGCAATTTCAGCATTAAAAATGACAACAACACTACAGTAGGGAGATATAACAGTAAGTTTAAATGACAAGGCATGTTCTGTTCCAGGATGGTTAGGCCCAAGAATGGAGGTGTCAGTTTATTCCAAATTAATTTTTCAGTTAATTTAATGCAATTCCTATCAGAATCATAGAACGGTTCTTCTTTTACTTGACAAGATAACTGTCAAATGCATCTGGAAGACTAACCGGAAGGTAACAGCCTGAAGAGAAGAGAGGTGATCTACACTGCCAGATTTAAAATGGATCATAAAAGCCAAAATAATTAAAAACATGTCCTAATGGCATATGAAAATACAGACAGATCAACGGAATGAGATAAAAAGCCCCCAGAGAGAGATTTAAGTAGAGATGAGTATTTAAGACACGACAAAGGTGGCCATTTCCAATCAGTAGGTAAAATATAAATTATTCATTAATTGTGCTGAGACAATTATTCCATTATTTGGGAGAAATTTAAGTTAGATTCCAATCTTAAGCCATATATCAAAATAAGTTCCAAGTGGATTAAAGATTAAATAGCAAGAAAGTCAGGGAAGGAAGGAGGAAAGAAGACAGTATAAAAGTACCAAAAAAGAAAATATAGGTGAATGTTACACAATATTGAGGTGGAGGAGGCCTTTCCAGGAATTACAGTAAAGTCAGAAATCATAGGAGAAACATGGATAACTCTACAGAAATAATATATATCAAATAATGATCTATCAAAACTACCATAAACAAAATTAAATGGCAAACATCGAACTTGGAAAAATATTTGTAACTTACTTGGCCGTATAAAAGTTGGTGATCTTATTTAAAAAAAATAAACACTTAATGAAAAAAACCCAAATACTCCAATAGAAAAATGTGCAAAGGATAGTTCCCTAAAGAAAAAAAAATGACACGGGCGCCTGGGTGGTTCAGTCAGTTGAGCATCTGACTTCAGCTCAGGTCATGATCTTGTGGTCTGTGAGTTCGAGCCCTGCGTCGGGCTCTGTGCTGACAGCTCAGAGCCCGAAGCCTGCTTCAGATTCTGTGCCTCCCTCTCTCTCTCTCTGCCCCTCCCCCACTCATGCTCTGTCTCTCTGCCTCTTGCAAAAATAAATAAACATTGAAAAATTTCTTTTAAATAATACAAAGGAGCTGTTAACGTATTAAGAAATGTGTATCGTCCCTAAAAATCAAATAAACTCCATTTCAACCATCAGTGAGATACCATGTTTTGCCCATCCCGTGGGCAAACACAAAACAAATTATAACACCCAGCTTTGCTGAGTGTGTTTAGAAATAGACGCCTGCCTAGCTTTTGATGGAAGTGAGAACTGGTACACCCCGCCTTCCCGGTGGCTACCAGAAAATATCAAAAGCCTTAAAAATGCTCAGGTCTTTGACTCAATACTTTTTGACTCAATTTCTTCGGTTTCTAGGAATTGACTCTGACGGCAATGGTGGACACACCAATCATGCGTGGGGCAGGGGCTCTAGGGACGTCCAACACCAGGGACAGAGTCAATGAACCACAGTAAGCTGTATATTTCCATGTCATAGCAAAAATTTAATGATTTGGAACCTCCCACGACATAGTTTTAAGTGAAACGCAAAGGTTATAAGGTGCAGTGTGATTCCATGTCGGTAGAGGAAGAACGGAAGGAAGGAAGGAATGGAAGGAAGATGAGGAATTTCTACCACTGACATAAAAATAGGAGATGTTTTCAAAACCGCACAGGTGAACGGTCCCATGAGGTAGATTTCTTATGTTGTTCTTCGTGCTCTTCTTTATTTTCCAAGTGAAGTTTTTATGTTTTCTTTCTTCACTCCTTTAAGGAATCAACTTTATCAAGGTATGATTTACATTGAGAAATTCCACAACATGTGCCTTGTTTTAAGTGCATGGTGACTTGAGGTGAATGCACTGACTTGGGTGGCTACCGTCACAATCCTGAACATTCCCATCACCCCAGTAAGATCCCTTGTGCCCATTTACAGTCAATCATGGTTTCCGCCCCCAGCCGCAGGCAAGCACTAATTTACTCTCTGTCTCTAGAGATTCCTCTTTTCTGGACATTTCCTGTAAATGGAATCCTATAAATGGAAGAAGAAATAGGTGGTCTTCTGTGTCTGGCTTCTTTCACTGAATATATTTCTGAGCCTTACCCATGTTGTAGCGTGTCTCAGTACCTCATTCCTTTTGACCGTTAAATAATATTAGTTTCTACAGATGTGGCACAGTTTCTTTATTTGGGTTATTTCCATCATTTTGAAAAAAATTTTTTAAAGTTGTTCTTAATGTTTATTTATTTTGAGAGAGAAAGAGAGAGAGCGCGTGCGCGCACTAGTGGGGGAGGGGCAGAGAGACAGAGACACAGAACCCGAAGCAGTCTCCAGACTCTGAGCTGGCAGCACAGATCCCGACCCGGGGCTCGAACACATGAGCTGTGGGATCATGACCTGACCTGAAGTCGAAGCCTGAGCTTAACCGACTGAGCCAGCCAGGAGCTCCTGAAAAAAAATTTTTATTTTATTTTATTTTTTGTTTTGTTTTGTTTTTTGTTTGTTTTTTTTTAATTGTTAACATTTTTTAATTTATTTTTGAGACAGGGAGAGACAGAGCATGAACAGGGGAGGGTCAGGGAGAGGGATACACAGAATCCGAAACAGGCTCCAGGCTCCGAGCCGTCAGCACAGAGCCTGACGTGGGGCTCGAACTCACGGACCACGAGATCATGACCTGAGCTGAAGTCAGCTGCTCAACCGACTGAGCCACCCAGGCGCCCCTGAAAAAAAATTTTTTAAGTGAGTATTTTAAGGGGTGCCAGATGGCTCAGTTGGCTAAGCATCCAACTTCAGTTCATGGTATGATCTCACGGTTTGTGAGTTCAAGCCCCGAGTCGGGCTCTGTGCTGATAGCTCAGGGCCCGGAGCCTGCTTCCGATTCTGTGTCTCCCTCTCTCTGCCCCTTTCCTGCTCGCACTCTGTCTCTTTCAAAAATAAATAAAATTAAAAAAATTTTTTACGTGAGTATTTTATGAAAAGATGCTTAATGTCATTCATCATCAGGAAAATACAAATCAAAGCCACACTGAGATACCACCTCACACCGGTCAGAATGTCTAAAATGAACATATCCGGAAACTATACATATTGGTGAGGATGTGGAGAAGCGGGAACCCTCTTGCACTGTTGGTGGGAATGCAAACTGGTGCAACCACTCTGGAAAACAATATGGAGGTTCCTCAAAAAATTAAAAACAGAACTACCCTATGACTCAGCAATAGCACCGCTAGGAATTTACCCGAGGGAAACAGGAGTGTTGATGCATAGGGGCACATGTACCCCAATGTTTAAAGCAGGGCTTTCCACAACAGCCAAATTATGGAACGAGCCTAAATGTCCATCAACAGATGAACAGATAAAGAAGATGTGGTTTATACATACAATGGAATACTACTTAACAACGAAAAAGAATGAAATCATGCCATTTGCAGCAACGTGGATGGAACTGGAAGGTATTATGCTGAGTGAAATAAGTCAGTCAGAAAAAGACAGATATCGTATGTTTTCACTCATATGTGGGTCTTGAGAAACTTAACAGAAGTCCAGGGGGGAAGCGAAGGGGAAAAAAATCGTTACAGAGAGGGAGGGAGGCAAAGCACAAGAGACTCTTAAATACAGAGAACAAACTGAGGGTTGATGGGGGCGGGGGAGAGGGGAAAATGGGGGATGGGCATTGAGGAGGGCACCTGCTGGGATGCGACCGGGTGTTGTATGTAAGCCAGTTTGACAATAAATTATATTAAAAAAAATAAAGTGAGTATTTTAAAAAGTGGATAAATAAACCTGCACCCCTGCCTCAGGCCTCCAGCAGGCTTACAATTTGTAATATGTAGTGTGTATGCACGTGAGTGTGTGTGGGTGTGCATAAACGGGCTGGGCGCACGCATAAAACAAGACGAGAAGAACTGTACCCCAAACCGTCAAGAGGGGTTCTCTCTGAGTGACAGGATTATGGGTGACTTTAATTCCCTTCTTTGTGTTTTTCTGTACTTTCCAAAAGTTCTACAGTGAACATGTGTTATATTTCTAATCAGA